GTAATATTTCATTTTAATAGTATTTTACTATTAAAAATGAAAATTTTATGTTATTATTAATCTTGATTAATAGTTTTTATTAAGTTACATCTTCTCTCATTTTGGAATATATTTCATAACTAAGTTAATTTATTTTTCTCTTTTTATATCTTTGCTTACATGCTTGATTTTCATAAGAGTGTATCCATCTGAAATTATTATTTTTACCTTTATGATTAAATTATTATTTTTTATCGAATAACAATATTTTAATGAATTTTATATACAATATAATTATTGTTATTAATTTAATTATAATCTATACATTTAAAAATATATATTCAGCGTAAAATATAACTATGTAGTATTTTTTCATATTATATATATATATATATATATATATATATAATATGTATTTAATTTGGGACACAAATTTTACATTTGTTGGATATTTTACTATTTTGAAGAAGGTTAAAATATTATGCTATATTATTTTTAAAATCTTATTTCTGCACTACAGTCTTGTAAAATCTTGTTCACTGATATATTATTTATATTTGAATTATATTTTTTGTGAATCTAATTAAAGACTCTTTGGTTGATGTCATAAATTTTAGTCTAACTTGTAATAAAATAGTAAATTGAAGGACAGTAATGTCTTTTGAACGAAGAAAACGTCACGCTCTTTTCATCTTACAGCATCATCAACCTTAGACCGCTCAATTCTGAAGTCTCACTTGTCCTTATAAATCCTACTGCTCGACTCTTCTGATGTGTTCTGTTCTCTTCTATTTTCTGAACGATGGCGTCTCTCTCACACCTCAACAAACTTCTATGCGTTCCACCGCTCAACTCTTCAGCCTCTGTTTTGCCACCACGCTCGCTTGGGATTTGGACCAAGCCCGTCGGAAGGCCGAGGATGGTCGCCGAATTAGCGACTTCAGCGTGGCGTGTCCGAGCGGTGACGAGCGAAGACGAGTGGGGCACGGAGAAGGAGGAGAAGGAGGAGGCGTACGGCGGTGGCGTGGCGGTGGAGGAGAAAGTGGCGGTGGAGCCGGAGACAGAGAACCTGAAGAAGGCTTTGGTGGGTTCGTTCTACGGCACGAATCGTGGACTGAAGGCAACGAGCGAAACCAGAGCGGAGATCGTGGAATTGATCACTCAGCTTGAGGCCAAGAACCCTACCCCTGCTCCAACCGACGCCTTGACTCTCCTCAACGGAAAATGGATTCTCGCGTAAGCTACCTTCTTCCACCAATTGCGCTTAACCCTAACATGAACTTCGTATAAATAATATGTAGACCAAGAAAAAGCCTTAAGCCTTCTTAATACACGTTTTTTATTTTTTTTATTTCAAAATTACCTTGGGATTGAATGCAACAGGACTGGGTTTCCGTTACCAACTTCGGATTTTTAGTATAATTTTATCTCCCCTATGTGTCACGCCTTCTGTTCAATTGAATATTATGTTGTCACAATATATTTTAATGTTTTTATTCTTTTCTACTGCTGAAAGCACCTTCATCCAGTTATTCTACAATTGAATGCTCTTACATATTGAACTCAATACATTTCTTGTGTCGATTGCTATCAATCTGCCACTAGCAACATGTCTTATGTTCCTATAAACGTACTAATTGTCATATCTAGAGGTTTTTTGTTTTTATTGTTTGCTGTCATGGTTTGTGTGAATGAAAACTGTAGGAATAAAAAATTAAAACATAATTGTATGGGAACTGAAAAGAATAAGCTTTAATATTGACAGGGACAAAAAAACATGTTTTGAAGTTTTTTAGTTTCTTCTATGGATTGTGTTCTTTCCCATATGTGTAGATGAAAGGTAGAGGTTGTGAACGGGAACTTACCAGATCATGGTGGACTTTTGTGGTGTACGCAGGTATACATCCTTTGCAGGTTTATTTCCGTTGTTGTCAAGTGGAACACTTCCGTTGGTCAAGGTGGAGGAAATATCTCAGACTATCGACTCGGAAAATTTCACTGTCCAAAACTCTGTTCAGTTCGCTGGTCCTTTGGCCACCACCTCAATTAGTACAAACGCCAAATTCGATGTCCGAAGTCCAAAACGTGTTCAGGTTTGTGTGGTAAATTGTATTTTGGCACTCGTAGTCTAGTTTGACATCTTGATTTTGACTATTTTTTAGCTCCACAAGTGACGTTTTTCTCATGATGCATATTGTTTAGATCAAATTTGATGAAGGCATCATTGGCACACCACAGCTTACAGACTCGCTAGAGATACCAGAAAATGTGGAGTTTCTGGGTCAAAAGATTGACCTTACACCTTTCAAAGGCATCTTCACCTCTGTTCAAGACACAGCCTCATCGGTCGCGAAAACAATTTCAAGCCAGCCTCCCTTGAAGATCCCAATTTCCAATAGCAATGCTCAGTCCTGGTTACTCACTACATACCTTGACCAAGAATTGCGTATCTCAAGGGCTGATGGTGGCAGTGTCTTTGTTCTCATCAAAGAAGGAAGCTCTCTTTTAACAATTTAAACAGATTAAACTACTTTACTTCGGATTAATATCCAGTTAATGTTCCTAAATAAGTAAAGGATCTGAGCTATATATACAATGATTATGAATACGTATGGAGAACAGAGTTGATGCTGGGACGTGAATTATTGTTTGTTAATGAGACATTTTAAAAGCGAATGGCATCAACCAGCTTCAAGTAACATCATAAAAAGTTTTCTGGTTTTCTTTTGCCTATTTTCTTTTCAGTCATCCGTAATAAAAAATTATTACTTGTTATGAATATTTTAAAATTTACAAGTGTTTACTATTCACAAATATCTTAAAAAAAATATTTTATAAATTTTTAAAATAAAATATAAAAATAATTATAAAAGAAAATATAAAATATAATATAAATTAATTTTAATTAAATTTAATTCAATGAGATATAAATTAATTTTAATTTTAATTTAATTTAATTTAATAAAATATAAATTAAAATGTTATTCGTAGTTACTATGTTTATAAATAATAAATTTTATTATTCACATTATTATCTACAAATAATAAATACTTTTGCATATTAACTATTCAGTGTAAATTTTATTTTTGCGTATTAACTATTCAGTGTAAATTTTATCTAAGAGTACGACTAACATAGATAGTTTTACATGCATAATCTATACACGTCCTCACCACGGAAACGGGGATGAGAACTGAATACTTTAATTATTTTGTGAACTGAATACTTTAATTATTTTGTCTTTTATCTTTTATTCAAGGTTAGGTGCGGGAATGAGAACTGAATACTTTAATTCTTTTGTCTTAGGTATTGAGAATAAATTAAATTGGCAACTAACTTTGAAAAAAGGACGAAAGGTAAAAACTTATGCAAAACAAAAATGGGTGTTACCATTTTGAAAGTAGGTGCAAGGAAGATGATTTACACTTTATTTTTGTATATAAATTACATAAAAGATTTAAGATTGTGAACGACAAGAGTTTTAATTGAAAAATGAAGAGGTTTATTGTTAATTATAACAAAATAATAATTTTTGTTCTCTTCTCAAATAACTTTATTCATTTCTTACATATATCAAATAAAGAATGTAAAATTTTCTTAGAAGAACACAACGTTAAGACATGT